AGAGACAGAGTCTCACTTTATTGCCCTTGGTAGAGTGCCGTGGTGTGGCGTCACAGCTCACAGCAACCTCCAACTCCTGGGTTTAGGCCATTCTCTTGCCTCAGCCTCCCATGCGTAGTTTACTTTTTAAAGCTTTTTCTTCAAACTGAACAGACTTGAAAAATGAGCATAAATATAACATTCAAATAAGATAAATAAGCTACCATAAGCCCAATTCATTCTTATCTTCATTTCTAAAACTACAAGTCACCGAAGTTCAACCCTTTCCTCAAAGTCAGTCAACATTTCTAAGAACTTTTTATTCTACTCCATAAGTATGCCTTTGGTGTCTCCTCTTATCAATCATCCTGTCACTGACTTTTCATCTTTTCCTTGGCCTTCTCACTTTCACTGCTTCCTCAGTGGGGCAGCTATCCTATATTCTACATGGGTAACATTTTTCTTTGGAAGACACAAATTTGATGATTCCAGTGGGTCCCTTCAATTATACTGTGAAATTCAAACATGAGACTGGCAACTAAAGGCCCTCTCCTTGCATTACGACCTGTTATTTCAGTCCACTTCCTACCACTCCTTTAACTTCCATAGCGCTTCACATCTCCACGGCTTCTCAGTGTCTAGAATATTTTTTGCATCCTGCCGAAAGAAGGCAACTGGTGCTCACCCTTCATGTTTAGATCAGACACTGCTGCATGTAAGAAGCCTTCCAGGACCTTCCCAGACACAGAAGTCTATGCCTGTATTCCTGAAGCATTTTATACACATCTTTGTTATAACTTTTACTTCATTTTACTTCTTTTCAAAGTTTGTATTCCCTAGTAGACTATTAATTCAAGTATATAAAGAAATTGTGTGCCTGTTTATCTCAATATTCCCAGAATGTCCCATAGAACTTGGTGAATACCAACCCCTCAATAAATGTTTTCTGAATAAAGTAAAAAAAAAAAAAAGCCTCTTTTTATTCAGGTATTTCCATACCTGCAGAGTATGGAAAGTGGGAAAGGACAAGCTTTCAGAAAAGAGAGGGTAAGAAATATGACTATGTCAGATATTTTAAAAAGAAGAATAATCATTTCATAGAGCTAATGGCAACCACCCTGATGACAAACCTACCACTAAATGAAAAAAACAAATAAACAGACAAGATACAGCAGGACAGAAGGGGACTTTGTTTCAGCTTCAGCACCATCTGTAAAAGGCCTCTTTGCCTGTTCCTAGCGAGGCAGTCTGGAAAACAGGGGTTAATACTGAGGCCCTACTTGTTTAGAAGACATGATTTTTTCTCCTGAAAAATATACTTATTTAATTTTTGTTAGTATTTTATTCTCTGGAAGGTCAATCTGTGACAGATAATTAAATGTTGATTATCTCTCGAATACTATAGTTTTCTAGGAGACTCTATTTCTTATTCAATTGTTATGCAATGTAGTATTACATAAATGACTATGAATTGAAAAATAATCAATAGAATTTGCACATGGATAATCCAATCCAATGTCAGAACTGCAAGGGGAGAATGTTACATAGAAAAACTAATAGTGGTGCCGTAAGGTGTCTTCAGGAAGCTCTGGCATCTCCTTAAGCCTCCATCACCTCCTTCACTCAAGTTCCCCTTAAAACCAACAATTTAGACAGAAACAGTGTGCTTGGGAGGCAAACGAAACCTGTAATGCTTAAGTTAAGCCTGGTAAATAACAACTTTATAGAGGACAGTATATTTATTGTTTTTAGTTATTTAACTCCTTGAAATATAATAGTAAAAAGAACCATTTTTTAGGTATTTGTTACCCAATCACATTTAATTCTCATACACTGCCTATCGGTGACACTTTCAAACACCACGTAGCAAGAACAGTTTCACTGGACTGTGAGACCCACGATTTAGCAACCTTTTTGCTTTGAATCCTATGCTATCCTCATAAGCCCTGGTAAAGAGTGCAAGCTTCCAATATCTAACTCACTAAGATGTGAAACAGACAAGTTTGTAAAAATGTTAGTGATAACAATATTAAAATAAACAGACTCAGTCACAACGATGGATATAATCAAATAAGATTCTTTAAATTTAGAAACTATCACCAATAGAAGGAAATGCTTCAATTATTCAGAATAAAACAGTTTAAATTTTAAAAATTCTCAATTCAACAATAAACAATCACTAGCGGTCCAATAAACAGGATGTACCATATAAAAAACCAAATCTACAAGTAAGCCTTGACTTAGCTACATCTAAGTCAATAAATGGATAATTACATTTAAAAATGACTACAGCAATCCCAACTATGTCATTTAATGCTGGCCAAATCTTTTTAAAAATTAAGGTATACCAGTAAGTTAACAATTTTGTAAATATTTGTATAAATGATGAAATTGATCAGCATGAAAATACAAGTTGTAAGGCAATAGATACTACAAATCTAAAGTATTGAAATTCCCATCTCCCTTTAAAAGGCTAACTATTAAAATTAACTTTTAAGGAACAAAGAATTACTAATTGGTAAACATTAGGGGCCACTTTCCTATCTCCCTTTAAAAGACTAACTACTAAAATTAACTTTGAAGGAACAAAGAATTACTAATTGGTAAATATAGGGGTCACTTTCCTATCTCCCTTTAAAAGATTAACTACTAAAATTAACTTTTAAGGAACAAAGAATTACTAATTGGTAAATATAGGGGTCACTTTCCTATCTCCCTTTAAAAGGCTAACTACTAAAATTAACTTTTAAGGAACAAAGAATTACTAATTGGTAAACATTAGGGGCCACTTTCCTATCTGCAATAGTGTATCCTGGAGATCAACATGTCACACTTGGAGGATATTTTTCATGGAAGAAATGGTGTCTAATTGTGGTCTAGGTTGTTTCTCACACTTGTTGAAAGTAAAATCAATAATTTCCCAGATCAACTGCAAGGCAGATTGGTAAAGTTTCAAATTATATCACTGATCACTTACCTTTAACAGGTGAAAACATGCAAATAACCAATTTGTTCTTTTAGAAAACTTATAGGCTGATGTAGGACCATCTCTAATTATTTGATTAGAGAAATCAAAGAAAAAGTAAATAATACCTCCTTTGTTATATTAAAGGTTGGCTGCTGTTTATGTTAATTTAGACATATCAGAAATAATTTGGGAGTATCACAAAAATCTAATATCAATTATTTGCAATGTATCTCAAAGGCCAACTTATTTAGGTTAATGTGATAACAGAACAAGATTTTCATCTTCATTTTGAAAGGTGGAAGAAACCAATTAATCCATGAAAATCTATAGAAGCAAGCTAGAGGGGGAATGAAAATCACAACTGTTGCTGTTTCTACCCACCATGGTGACTCATGACCTGCCCAGCAGCCTCCATGCTGACATTCTGGAGATAGTTGTGGCAGCGTTCCTTGTGCTCCTCCAGTGAACTGCGCTGCTTGTAACTTCGTCCACAGTAGTTGCACTTGTGAGGTTTGCCCACTGGAAAGAGAACGTAAGGTCAGTGTGCTGCCAATCTCATTCACCTCCAAAGCAAATTAGCCGCTGACTTCTCAGAGTCCAGAGGAAGTATTTATATGACTTTCAGGCCTAAATCTCTTCCTCCTCCACATTCCAATTTGTGTCAAGACTAACAGTGAGAAGACAGGCAGATGGCATCTCCAGCGACAGGGGAAATACTGAATCAAACTCACGCTCTGACTATATTCCAGACTGTGAGGGAACGATGACCAATCTTCAAATTATCTGACTTGTAATGTATTTACACAATTATCTCAACTTTGACTCATTCAAAAGACAAATCAGTACAGATACATGGTGAGATTTTGTGTTGGGGGGATAAGGGCAGAGAATTTTACTAAAGAAAGCTGAAGTGCAACAACTTGAAATGTCATGGTTTAATAAAAGGAGATTATTCATGAGAAACAAGTAGATTAAGAAGAATTCAAGTGGTGAGAAAAAGTACAGATAAAAGTAGAGTGTTTCTCTTTTCTTTCCGCCTTGATAATAGTTCTTCACACATGCAAAACTTAGCAGCCGCTAAGTCTATGCTTCCTCATCAGCACTCCTGCTACAATACCAAGAACCAGCCCACGAGGTGCTTTCAGTCAGAATTATTACTCAATATTTAGTGACACAATAATGGTAATATTTTCCAAAACATCTCACATCCAGGAGATGAGTTCTTCCCTAATAGTCAGGGAACCATTACCTCTGTGCCATTATCTCAATAAATCTTTTAAAATGCTATGATGGTTGTGAAAACAAACTTTAAAAAAATGATCAAAAGAAAAAATAACCTCTATAGAAAGCAGTATGTTATCATGTATGACTATTCATAAGGCTGTCACAGAGAACTTTGACTCTTGGCTTTGAGTGGATAGAGAACAACATAAAACACCAGGTAGTCTGCACCAAAGCCCTCGGTAGTGAAGCACAGTGCCATTCAGGTTACTGCCCTCATTGGATTCCCATAGGAATCATTTAGTTTTGCCCAGAGAACAGACAACTCTTTTTCATGAACAAAGATAGCATCCCTAACTCCAGTCACCTTACAAACCGCTGCTATGACACTGGTCACAAGAGGAACTGAAATAATATAACAAGGCAACAGATTCGTGGCTGCCTAAAAGTTTTACTGTACTGTTTTAAGAAACAGAACAGAACAAAACAGAATCAATCCTGTAGATTGTATTTGAAGTACACATAAATTAAATCAGTTATTTCACTCTCATTAATTATTTTTAAATTATCTTTGAAACTATTTAAAGCAAGAGTAGTCCTTTGAAAAAGTACTAGGCAAAGTAACTTCTGTATTTTAGAATCAAGAATTTCTGGGAAGTTGCTATAAATATTGTGCGGAATTTAAACTACCAGGTGAGAGCATAAAAATAAGATAATTTTTTCTGTCAAAGTCATTTAGTGTAAATAATATAAACACATTTATGTGTAAATTACCTTCCAAGGTATGGGGCTACATGGCAGAAAGCCGTTGTTTGCTACTAGAGTTGCTCAATTATGGATTCTTTCATACTGTTTCTCTAGAAAGAGTGATGAGTTTACAGGTTTATTACACCACAGATAATACCCCACTATAAAACAGTACCCTCATTTCTTGGTCTTCCCTGGTGTCTGTCCCTTCACATGGTGTCTTATAAAGCCTCTGTGTTTTTTTGTGAACACATTCTCCTACACTTTCTTTCCATTATTTCTGTAAAGAATCTTTACACCTTCTCAATTTAATTGAAAGATCGTTTTTCATTTTATTCCCTTTGGCTCACAACCCTGTACAAAGTCCCAATTCACCTGATAAGAGAAAAAAGACAGCATGCTTTTTACCACTTTTCACTCATTTCTTTCCCTATTTCATTTCTGAAGTCTATCCTATCTGCTTTACTTCAACATCTCCCATTTTTTCATCTATTTATTTTAAAACAGCATTCTTTCCTCTTCATCCCATCCTGTTCCCAGGGAGTCCAACAGGAATCTGAATAATTGTTCTAAATATATATTTTCTCAACTTTCACCTCCATTCTACTCCAGTAACTCAACTACTGGGTGACATGTTGGATTTTGACACTTCTAACAACCATCCGATCTCTAAGAAAGTTACTCTAGGAATACTCAATTTTATCTTTTTACTTCTCTCTTTCATTTAATACATAGTTACTAAAAGATTACTATGTAACAACACTGTGACAAGGTTAAATTGTAAAGTGGAAAACAAATTCTCATGGTTGTCTATCCTCATGCAACTGACAGTCTGGTGAGGAAGGCAGACATTTAATAAATATACATTACATATATACATAAATGTATATTTAATAAATAGACAATACGTTAAAATTGTGTGAGGTTGTACACATGGGGGGAAAAGAATGATGTGCTAGTGTAACATGGAAAAACTAGTCTGAAGGCAGTTGGACAGGAAGCTCTGTCTGATGTAGGAACATGTAGGGTGACAACTGAAGAAAATTCAGTAATCAGATAATTGGGGACCAAGGGTGGAGGGGAGGCGGGATTTCTGAGAACTGCCATCATCCATTTTCTCTCCTATGTGGGTCATCATGAAAGTTCTAAGATACACAAAAAACAAGAAACATAAAATCTGCATGGATGGAAACCAATGACGCCCTCCCAGCAATACCCATATAAGCCTAGCAAATTGAAACGTGTACGAGAGACTCGTACGCGTTGGATGCTGTCAACTGTTTTTCTTGGATGCTGTCAACTGTTTTTCTTGGATGTGAAATAAAAGACCATAAAACAGTCTATCTCAAAATTTTCTATACTTAGCTCCTTCAAAGTCTAAATTTTGCCTTTACTACTCTTTTTTTTTTTTAATTTTTAATTTAAAAAAAAATTCTTTTGAGACAGAGCCTTAAGCTGTACCCCTGGGTAGAGTAACAGCTCAAAGTAACCTCCAACTCCTGGGCTCAAGAGAGTCTCCTGCTTCAGCCTCCCAAGTAGCTGGGACCACAGGTGCCTACCACAACACCCAGCTCTTTTTTTTGGCTGCAGCCATTATTGTTGTTTGGTGGGTCTGGGCTGGATTCAAACCCGCCACCTTTGGTGTATGTGGCTGGCGCCACAGGTGCCGAGCCCCTTACTACTCTTCTTAAGAGTGTTTTCACTTAAGTGTGTTTTCAAACATCAACAAAATCCCAGACAAACCTATGGCTCTACTGTTCCACAAGACCATTTCCTGTCAGTTCCTTGATACTATTTTTTGATAAATCATGTTCATAAAAATGTGGTTTATACATCCTATATAAAGAGTTTGTCTCTATTATGAATTTATCTTTAATTTATAAGAAAATGCATATAAATTATAAGTGAATATGTGTAACACATATATTCATAGAACTGTATTTTGTGACCTTTATTTCTATAAATATTATTATTACGTATTTTCACCAACTGAAACACCTTTATTCCAATATTTCTGAAATATTTTTGGAAAGTTAATACCCCCTGAATCACTAATCCAGTGTACTTTTAGCCTAAATCTCCCTACTCTCTTGATCACTATCAAACTTCCTTGCGTCTTGTAGCTTCTGGGATCTGATTCTGTAATTTTCCCTCCATGGCTTCTCAACCTCTTCCTTCCTACCTTGCAAACATATAAACATTCCTCCAGATTTTGTTCTCAGTTTAGTGTTCCCCCTCTGTGCTCTCCAGACTAAGTCTCTGTTTTTATGAAACATCCACATCATGCCTGGAATAATTTCGCATGTTCCTAAGCTCATACTCATCACATAAGCCTCTTTCAGTGACGTTGGTGAGTCCTTTCCACGTAATCTCAACAAACAGGGCAGGACATAGATTTTTCCTCTGTGCTGAACAACTCTGTTCATACTTTGTTGATATATTACTTAAAATTATTGGATTATAATTATCTATTTCATAGCTATTTATTTCCCTATTTCAAACAAGTGCCAGAAGGACAGAGATCTCATTTTACTGAGGTAGTAATAGATAATCCTCGTGGAGTTATTAAACCCCAGAGACTCTCAATACCTACTTGCTGAATGAATGGCTGCCCTTCAAAACCATACTGTCAACTGCCTTTTGAGTATGACCTCACAGACACTTTCCTGAAACCAAATCTAACACTCAAGATACCAAAAACTGTCTTCGTCTACAAAACTCTCTTTATTCTGACCGTCCTTTTGTGCTACTGTTCCCTTTGTTGTAGGAATCCAGACTCCTAAAATGTGGTCTCTTTTGTTGCCTTGTTTCTCTTTTGCCACGTACAAATCATTGCAAAATTCTATATAATACACTCCTAAACTGTCTCTCAAGTTTATCCCTCCTCATTCTCACAACCCATATCCTACTGCAAGCCTTCAGACTTCATATGTTTTCTCTTCCCACATGAAATTATTTCTTTTTCCTCTTCAACAACCTTCGATGACTGCACACTCCTATGGAACAAACTTCACATCCTTTTACCTGGGATTCAGGACCCTAATCTGGCCCCAAAGCACAATCTCCTTGTCTACTCCAGGCTCCAGCCCAAATTACCCAGCATTTATACTTCTGAGTCATGTTCTTTCTGAAATGATTTCACACAATTTCTGCTACTTGAAATCCTTTGTATACTTCTACTTCCAACCTCATAACTCTGTTTCATCTAAAATAAACTTTCTCACTAAAGAATTATAACTGTATTTCCCTGTATGCTTAGAACATTCTACCTTGTATTTGCATTACCTGTGTTCTTTATACATGGTCTTTATACATTCATTTTTATCTTCCATGTTAGATACTGACCTCCATGGGAAATTATAACAGTATCTTACATATCTTTGTAAACTCTGAAGAGTTTAGTTTGGTGACTTGTTTACAAAAACGAATAAGTAGAATTTTCATGAATGTCATCCTTTCCAAACCCTTTAAATAGTTTTCACTCATTGTTTTTTTAAAATAATTTTTCTAATTTCAAAAGCAATATAGCCATATAAATTAAGTCACAAAAA